ACTGCCCTCTGTTTCTGCACTGAGGACCTGCATCTGTTTGGGCTTTTTTTTTTCTTTTTTTTTAGCAAATCACCTTCATCATCTCCACCAGCTGCCACGACTTTTTACTGTGGACTTTTTACAGGAAAAACAAATCACCTTTGTTATCAACTTCTTACGGAAATATTTGACCCACGAGGTTTTATTTTTTAACCTTAACGTCCACCTCGTGTTAGCTCAGTGGCGCCCCTTTTTGTAGACAGGATTATTGTTGATTTCTTCTTGTCTACACTAAAGGTATTTAGTTAAAGTGAAATCCATCTCCGTTACAGGTTCCCTGCCCCCTACTTTGAGAACCACTGTGTTAGATCATTGTTCAAGTACATTTTAAAGCAGAACGAGGCAATTATTTTTATTTATTTATTTATTTTTAAATTGGTTGCTTATTTATTTCTTTGTTGGATCAGACATAATTTTATTTGAGTGGCACAAATAAAAAATAAGAACAGAATAAAAACTGTAATTTGTTGTCGTGTGATTGGCTCAGAGTTTAAAATTATCTGCTGAGATTTTTTAAATTAGAACTTGGTTAATTTAGTCGCGCTTTGAGGAAGAAAGTCTTTGATTAAAGTAACGTTTATATTATTGTGTCCAAATGTTTCAAACTAAATATCCTCCAAACTCTTTCACCCACATTAAAAACAGAATTCTTTACAGTTACGTCTCCACTGGTCAGATTTACGCCACCGTTTCTACAGTTTCTTAACTCAGTTCTGACAGAACGGCCACGATTGAACGCACTGGTGTCACATGACCAACACCAGGACTGTGGTGTGAATGAGTGAGTGTGAATGGGAGTGAATTGTGTCTTCATTTGCAAATATGATTAAAAATCAGCAGAGTTTCCAGAGTCGAAGAAAAAACGAACATTTAAAATTCATTTGCCCCGCTGCCCCCCCCCTCCCTGCAAATAGTTCTCTCCCTCACCCTGCTGTAAGGCAAACACAAGACCCACAACCTCCACCGCGCTGTCTTTCAAGGTGTGATTAGATTTAAATAGTTGTTCTTTTATCAAAGTAGTATTTTTTTTTTTTTGTATTTTTATCAGCACATTATCGTGTCCTCCACTTCATGACGTTATCTCAGAGCGCCGCACAATCCGTTTGTCTGCAAACGCAGTGACGATAAAAGGAGCTAAAACCTTTGAAATAACAGTGAGTCAAACGTGAACTTCTTCAGCAGACGCCGACATTTACCTCCACAATACTTTCTGTTCTTCTTATCCAACAAATGAATCCCTTCATAAACCCCACACAGAGTGACACAAAGAGCAGAGGAGCGGAGGACGAGCAGGATGATGAATCCTGGGGCTTTAAGGCCAGGTCTTCTCCAGCGTCAGCTCGCTGTGGAATGAGCTCCATTATTGCTCTCTGGGCTCAAATTGAAAACATTACTGGCTCCATTCACAGTCCTCAGACACAGTGGATGGTCTTTATTTCCAATCACATTCTCCTTTTTGGTTGAGGGAGCACCTGCCGCGCGTGCCCACGCGTACGCTGCGTGTGCGAAAGGCCGGAGTCAGAGATGCTCTATTTACGTCTTCATAAAGTGGTCGGCGCTGATGCTGCTCATATGGGGGAGGTGACCTTTCCTCCCTCCTTTCTCTCACCCTGCGGCTCTCACAAATTGAGACCTTGTTGATTTTCTCTCACACTTCCCTCCGTGTCACAGAAGTTGTGACATTAGGGTGCCCGAGCTGTCGCGCCGACCTTGGTCATTACAGCATCAGCGTGCCCTGCATTTCAGTCCAGAGGACACACTTGGTTGGGGGGGGGGGGGGGGGGGGATAGTGGCCCCCCCCCCCCCCGCTGCCCCTCCACTGACCTGCTCCACAGACGCCTCCTGTACATAAAAAGTATATGGCTTTTCCAGCCTTCACGCCGAAACAAGCGCTAACCAATCAGATGTCGACGTGAGGTGAAGACGTCAAGACCGTTACTGTGGCTGCGACTCACACACAGCAGAAAACTGTACTGTACGTTGAGCCCTCCAGAGTTTCAGTGTGTGTGTGTGTGTGTTGGTGTGTGTGTGTTGGTGTGTGTGTGTGTGTGTGTGTCTCCTTCTCTCCCAGGACTGATGTTGATAAAATGTGACCACATGAGTCCCTGGAAGAGAAATAAGTCAGAATGTAAACAGACTCTCTCCCACTCTCTCACTTTCTCTCCCACTCTCTCTCCCTCACTTTCTCTTCCCTCTCTCCTTCTCTCTCTCTCCCTCTCTCCCCGTTTTTCTCTCTCTCTCTCTCCTATTCTATCCCTCTCTCTTTCTCCCTCTCTCCCTCTCTCTCCCTCTCTCGCTCTCTCCCTCTCTCTCTCCCTCTCTCTCTATCTCACTGAATCTAAATCTGTCTTTTCTTGTTATTGTCTTTCCTTTTACATCTTTTTACAGTATCTTCCTCTTTTTTTATCCTTCCAAGAATCTCCGGCTCTTTCCCCGGTCCACACCCACCCACACACACCAACACACACACACACCCCGGCCGTAGTACGTATGTTCAGAGTGTTTTGACAGTCTTGCGTTTGTTGGCGTTGCTTCGTAGTGTCTTGAAGATTAACACAGTCCGACTGGAACAAAGTGTTCTTCAACATATGGCCGATGGAATGCAGCAGTTTGAGGTTGAACTCCACCGTGGGACAGATTTAATGTACTTCACTTCTGAATCACACCGTGATTGCGCAACATCTGGACGAACTGCACGGTGCAGCTTGTTCTGTTGAAAAACACCAACAAAACACACCTCTCCTGATCTTTATTTTCAGTTTGTGGTTCTCACATAGACCAAATCAAAGTGTAGGCGTCAGCATTTGATTTCAGTAAGAACGCGGTCTGGTTGTGATAAGAGCTGGCAGTGAAGCTGGTACTGTACCAGTCTTCACCTGGTAAATCAGTGTCTCCCTGCAGACAGGGGCGTGTCACAGGAAAGTGTGCAGCGTTGACTGGGTTATTTCAAAAGTCCTGAAGTACTGCAGTGTAAAAGAGTCTGAGAACGCACAAAACTCACCTGGAAGTATGTACAGATGTTCATCTGGACCTGCTGGGGTTTGTCTTGGGCAAAACTGGTATACATGAAATAGCTAAAAGTTAGCGGACAACTAACGATGCATTAGCTACAGTGAAATGTAGCCGATATGATACTACTGTGATACTATAACTGAAAGATAATGATACTGAAAGAAATGCCAAAGATCTAATAAAAAATCAAAGTTAGCCCCGAAAGCACATGTCTAATTGTTAGCTTTCAAATGAAAAAGAAAAAAAAAAAAGAAAATAAAATAGCTAAAAGTTACACTGGACAAAAATATTATTATTACAGTTAGAGTTACTATAAAATATATAGAAGAAAAAAAATCATCTAATTATTATTATTTTTGGTAAAAAAAGACAATATTTTTCATCAAATTTTTTAACCAAATTTAGATAATAGTTAGCACATATATGTGAATATATAAATATGTATATACATATAATAAACACATATATAGTCAGCACATATTGTCTGTGGAGTGTCCATGTTTCCCCTGTTTTTTTGTTTTTGTTTTTTGTTTTCCTGGGCCAACTTTCCTCACCTCGTGCTTAAACAAATGTGTGTATCCTACAGAAAAACAGAGAGCTCTGATTAGGGCAGCGCTGACAGAGTCCAGAGTCAAATGATCCATTTATGGAGCGACGCCCCAACAGCAACAACTACAGCAACAATCACAGCATGTGCAGTCCATGCACCGAGGCTGGAGAATAACTACAGCTTTGTAGTTGAGCCCCTGACATGTGCTCTGTGTCCCGCATGCTGGACATCCACGAGGCCTTATGTAACTCTGTTTAACGTTTCCTTTTCTCTCTGGACACACGCGTGCACGTGCATGGATATATCTGGGTGAGGGTTACACAAAGTAAACATACATGTACACGCTGTTTATTTAGTCAATATCTGAAAAGTTTCCAAGAAAAACTCTGTACGTGTGTGTTTATTATATTTATGTTTTTAAAAAAACGTTAAAAAAAACTAGGTTTCGTGATTCTATTGCTTTAATTTAGTTTTTTTCTTTTCAAGTCCGGGTGATGCTGTAATCGTTCTGCGGTCTCTGCCGCCCTCCTGTGGTCACTTTTTCCCATTACACCAAGAACATATGGTGTTACGTTCAGCGTTTGTAACATATATATATTCAATTTAACCGCCATATTTCAATAGTGGACATTCGTTAATGATTGAGAAAGTTAATTCGAGAATAGTTCAAAACTTTTATTTCATTATGTTTATATATGTGACTGAAATAATTTAACAAATAAAAAATAAGACGTAATGCGATGCTGTAATCGTTCTGCGGTTTCTGCCGCCCTCCTGTGGTCATTTTCCCCATTACATCAAGAACGTATTTACGTTCAGCGTTTTTCAATAATAATTAATTTAACCACCATATTTTAAGAGTGGACTTTGCTAATGATTGCAAGGGTTAAAGGTCACAACTGCGAATAGTCCAACATTTTGTTTAAATTACGTAAATAAAAATAAAATAAAAAAGGTTATAATTTCCACTTGACTCCAGTGTAATCTAATGTAGTTTTATAATATCCTATATTACATATGTTTATTTTAATTTTTAGTTTTAGGCATATTTTTAATTAATGTGAATATACTATGTGTAGAAAATATATTTATATCTTTGATGTTGTCTATGAAGATTCTCAGTCATCCAGTTCATGGTCAAGGTTGAAGAGTTCTGTGAAATACGTTTCACCTCCTCCAAGAGGCTGTCTTTGATGTTGTTCTTGAACAACCAAAGTATTTACTGTTTTAATGACATAGTAGCAGTAATGTGAGCGTCACTTAGAGAAGTTAATTGACATTTTTACATATTGATTCATTCTTAATCACTTTAGCTATTCTCGATTTGAGAACTTTTACAGTCAGGGTAAAGCTAATTTCCTGTCTGAAGTCCAGCTCTCTTTCCTTCCGTGTGTTTCAGGGAGGTTCCAGCTCCAACCTGAACATGAACCTCTACGCAACCAAGAAGACAGCGGCCGAGGGCATGTTGGACATCGCTCTGTTCCTGGCCAACATCACGCACATGAAAACGGTCATCGAACAGGGAGCCGGATACAGGTACGGTGGAGAGACGGGAACCTTATGTTTGTTTTGTGAAGTTTGTCCTTGTGTCTTTGTGATACGTAGTGAACGACTGGTTTGTTGAACCCACAGGTATTACGCTGCCGTGCTGACACTCATTTCCTTCTCGCTGGCTCTTCAGATCGTGGCTGGAGTCCTGATCATCATCATCGGTGAGCCTTGTCACATCAGTCTGCTTCAGGAAGCCGTGTTTTTAACCCCTTCATATTAACAAACTAATTCAATGACACATCCATCACTGAGACACACAGACATATCAACCACATTTGACGTTAAAATAAAAACCAGTTCAAATGTCTTTTTTGTAAATTTTCTTTTTTTGTTTTTGTTTAGCATCCTGTTCCCGTGTTGTTATTTTGTCCGTGTATGTGCTTGTGCTCTGTGCGTTGCAGCTCGTAAAGACATCACTGAAGAGGCCAATCAGAAGCGCCTGGACAGTCAGAACAACATGATCACCATCCTGGTCTTCATCATCTTCGTCACCAACATCTTCATCTCTGTCATGGGGATGGAGCGAACCGGCCTGTTTCCCAGGATGCACTTCTGACTCTTTTGTGTAGGGATTGATTCCATCGGAGGAGAAAACACACACACACACACACACACACACACACACACACAGAATGTGACTTAACTGTTGTACTTACACAACTAATTCACCACGGTTCTCCCAGCCAAGCGACCAACTAGACCTTTTTGTGTGTGTGTGTTTTGTGTATGTATGTGTGTGTGTGTGTGTGTGGTGTATGCCTGGGGCTGTAGGCCGTTGTGAAATGACCCTCCTGCCCTCCTGGCAGAGGTGTTTAAACTTCCTGAACAACCTGATCACGGGCATCATCTTCCTCACCCTCATCGTCAACATCATCAAAGCGGCGTTCGGCACACACCGCAGCTGCCTGCTGCTGTGGCTCTTTCAGCGTTTCATTCTCTGAATGTGTGTTAGTAGTGGAACACACACCTCTTTATGATTATCTTCCCTTTTGTTTTCTTATTATATTTTCATCCAATCCCATGGAACATATTAAATATGAAAATGTCGGCAGGCCAGGCTGGTTATTGTGCACATGAAAATACACACTCTTAACCGGGGGTTGTCAACAGGGGGTGCGTGGACCCTTGAGGGGCTGCATTGATCATTGATACTTTATTACAAATATTTTTTTATATTTTACAAATGTTTGTGTTTTTTCACAATTTTCACAATATATATTGGATATATATATATATATACTGTATATACATATATATATATATATATATATATATATATATTTTTCAAACACTTAATTTTC